ATATATATACCGGCCTGTAGACAAGCATGGTGCCAACACCACAACAATAATAACAATAACAAAAACACGGGGCAGGTGGGTTGGAATACAGAACAAAGTGGGAAGAAGGTGGAACAGTTACGATAGAAAATGGTAGGTAACTGGGCTAGCAATTTTTTGTTTAACCGTACGACAAAAAGGAAGAGTAAAAATGTTTATTATAATGGAAATAATCATAAATCTTGCAGCTGGATGACTTTCTGGTACAAATCCGTGAAGTGTTTAACAAGATTTTTGTAACATAATGCTTTCACGAGTACCTCTGCTCCACGGCAGACTTTTCCCAAGCATTGCATGCGCCATTCGCTCATTGACATCAAGCCAAGAGGGTCACCCGTAAGTAATACATTGTACTGGTCACGCATCTTTTGACTCACTCACTGTTTGATCACACTCCATGCTCGTTCAGTTGGGTTCAGCGCAGGGCGAAGGGGGACCAAGGTCAATTCTGGAAAGGTCCGATGACTTTCTTCACGTATAGCTTGTCACGCCATGTTGCGTCATTACGACATGACTGAGGTCGCGTTTTCACCGTGCTGTGCAAGCTACTATCCACACCTTAACTTGATATTCTGACATCTTTTATCTTTTTTATTTTACTTCCTTTAATTGAGTATACAAAAATACAATTTTCAGGAAGGAGGAAGCGGCCAATTAAAGGGCGGCCATTCAACAGACAATAGGAGAAGTCAGATGGTGATAGTGGGATTCGAACACGTCCCCGGAGTGATGATTTGGTGACGTAACCACCGGGCCATCACCGCCCATCTTAAATTGAAAACGGCATAGACTGCGTCAGCTTTTTTGATGTATGGTGCCAACGAGACATTCATAATAAAAGAAAAAGAGATTGGAGAACAAATGAGGATGTGGAAACAAAAAGAACAAGCGTAACAATGATGCTTGTTTGGCTTGTTTCGTTATTCACTTTTTGATTCTTGTTTTCAGTTTCAGTTTAAACCATTAAGTATGCATTCTTGTGTGCTAATCTTTTGTACGCGACACAGGACTTACACAAACAGACAGCATTCGCGCCATAGACTTCTATTCTGGGTCATATCTCTCAGAGTTTCTAACCAGCAGCAATCCTTATCCCGTGGGCCTCAAGTCGGAAAACAGGCGGCACTAACCACAGCAAATGCTGAATCGAAGTACTTTATAGTTCCACACCAGTTGATCTCATCGCTGCGACGCTACTTTCAGCCTTGCGCAAAGAAAGCACGTTTAGATAGACCCTGGGCAAGCACACGCAAAACGCGACCGAGCCATTTAAGGCGATTTAGAGTGATTACTTATTTTATAGAACAACTATCGAAGCTCAGCACACGATGACGAACCTCTCATTAATCACCCAATGTCCCTCTAAACACGGGCAATGCTTCGAAGGCGTCAGTAATCGAATACAGATGGTTGATTTGCATCTTTACGGATGAGAAGCCAGGTCTTGCAACCCTGGAGCAAAAGGCTGGGAACGGCGATGACAGACCCTCTGGTCTGCCTACCAGCAACTGTTTGACTCGCCAATCAAATTACAAACAAGACCCAGATCACCCGATACGCAAAAAGCACAGTATGAAGAAGACGCGATCACTGAAGTATATTCGTCTCGGGGATATTGCATTTCAAATATTGTGACCGTGATACTTTACAACCCCATTTGAAAGCAAGTGCAGATTTCATAACAATGTGAAAAGTCAATATGAACATTCTGCTTCATGAATGGTTCATTATAATTTTGATCACTGTTATCTCATAGCAGGCACGTCTTTCAGTCTCTGGTAGCCAGTGCGATTTAGGAACAATTTGGTGAAACAACCGAAGCAACGTTGTAGGTCCTTTAAACCCGTCATGTGATTTCATGGACGAAGATTAAAGAGCCCTATTAGCTGTGCGCTCGTTATTGACCTGCTTTCTAGAATAGGTCTTTGTTGCCTGTAACTAGAGAGACAGATGGAACCTACGTGAGGCAGTAATTTCAATGCACTACGCGAGCTTTCCCCACTGACGTAAGGAGCAGAACGCTGCGAGTGAGAATCCACTTCTTTATCTGTTTTGACCTGCTGGCTTGTCTTTTAGAGAACCAAATTAGGATGGGCAAACAAGGGATAACTGTTTGTGACGGGTATTCGTTTCGATTATCCCAAAACCTTGAGTTACTACTATGGAGCCTTTGGCACGTAAAGCCATTCTGCATTGCTTATCACATCACGCGAATGCGCAAACTATCGCTTCAGGTTTGTCGTACACTTACCGTGTTTACGCAGTCATCAAATTTATAACGTTAAGCTTTTTAAATAAAAACTAACCAACATGCATCGAATGCCCATGGCCATCGTATAAATGACATGATCACTATATTCCATTCGGATAATAATCATGTTAATGGTGAAGGAAACGAATGGCTGTTATCAATAAGTTGAAAAAGAACAAAAATTCTTTTATAATTATTTTCCACTACTGCTTTATTACAGAGTAGGAGGTATGAATAAAACTTTCTGAGTATCCATTTAACATAACAACAGGGAAATAAACAAGTCATTCAAAAATGTTCTAGACCGGAAGTGAACTCACCTATAAGAACCGTCAGCATTGGCAGGATGACGTTGTTTCAAATCAACAACTGGAGCAATAGACGGACGAGAAGACCACTGACCACCAGCCAATTCTGAGCCGTGACGGCGACCTTGAGCGCGTTTCGCTGCCATATGGGATTGCATAAATTTCAAACTTCGAAAAAGAAAGTAAAATTTTGACTAAACGTCAGGCATACCGAAATACGCTTGAAACTCATACGGCCAGTAGTATGAGCAAAAAATATCGAATCGACAGCGAAATCGGTTGCGGAATCTGGTTCCTATTTAACACCCAGAATCAACTATGCGCACTACGTTGAAACAGAAGTGAGGTGAATAGTGGACCAGATTAAAAAAGCACATCGGCTTATTCATGGGTTGGGTTAATGAAATCCCGAGTAGAAAAGAATTTTGAGTTGATACTGACTGATCATCCCTTCCATGCACAATGCTAACCATACTCTTAGGAAGCGATCGAATTGAGTTTCACTTCTGTCAGAGGTCATCAGTGGTACGTAACCATCCAACCACCAAGGACTTGAACCCTGGGAACCACGAAAAGTAAGCGATGACTACCGGTCTACAAACCAGATTATTGTGTCGGATCAGAATTAGTGATTTAAGTCGTTGCCCATGACCTCCGGTCAATTTTTCAGGCACAATAGCACTACTGATGAACTATAACGAGAGCGAAGCTCGAGTTTAGTGTTTTCCTAGTGTATGGGTAATCGAATCAACTGATGATTGTGCATTAAAATGTAGTTCGGAGAGTAGTTAGTACTCAGATCAGAATCGATCTCTCATGAGATTTTCAGGTGAATCATACCAGATGCCTTGAAACGGTCTTACTATATTAAGGAGCGCACGCTAACCATAGTCGAAGCCATTTGTTTTAGACAGCTTACCGTCCAAATGTGCTCAGAAGCGTTCAATTCGAGATCTCCATTGGGTTCACGAACCTACCTCAAACAACAAACATCACATAGCCGAAGACCTTGGCAACTTGTAAATGATAATGTGATGCCCCCTCCCCACACACACTACACAATCTGAAGTTTTCATCACAACCCCAGGGGTTTTGTCTTTAAATAGGAATTCCAACGGCACGATTATGGATTACTGGGAACAACTGCTCGCCTGAATTTTTCTTCAAAGTGTGAGTATGGGGATTGTCCGAATGTTCAAGAGGAAATAATTTCTTACTAATGAATATGGTTCTAACACGATTTGTAAGGTGCACAGTTAGGACTCCGATTATACGTAGGCATGTAAATATCAGGTTGTGTAGAGCGACGACTTCTTTTCGAAAACGGCTATCAGATGTGAAATACACTGACATATACACAGAACATACTGAATTTTACTTTCCAACGGATACTTCTAAAAGTTGCGTACAGCGAATGAATTCGATAAGGACGAACTAACGAAAAGACTACACACTTTTTTATTACACACGAAGTGATTTATAGTAAAAAGGGTAAGCCCCATAATCAATGATATACTGTAAGGGGGAGGTATGTGGGGGAACATTCAATTAAGAATCAATTTTTTAATCCTGCTTTTGAAAAGGATAAAAAAGGATGGATCTCAATTAATCCATGTCTTGGTTAGCGCAACAGAGCGACCTACAAAGTGATTCAAAATCTTTTCAGTTCCATTAAGCTGATACAGAATATACGTACAGTAGGATGGGACATCAGATTTTCCGAACACTGATTCAAGTAGCCCGGCTAGGCTTTGAATGTGTTTCATAGCTTCAACGTCGAAAAAATACGGGAGGACCGGATGCCTTCTAGAATAATCAAATAGTCAATAAGGACGAGCCTAATTAATGGCATGATTTATTCACAGTATTTTGCAATGAATAAGTAACCGCTCAAAATCTCCTCACTTATGATCGTTAGTCACACTAAATTCACATTATCTGAGAGGAGTTGAACGGACTCCGCGTACCGAGATCTATATCTGTGTGCACGAGCAGGTTCTCACAACTTAGTCAGTCACATTCCGTACCCTATCGTGCATCGGCTATAAAGTGTGATGTCGGTGAAGAGAGTACATGTATATGTATACTGCTACGAACATGTCTGTCAGACAAATGATGGTTTTGATTGTGAAGGAAGCTCAACAGGACCGGATATTAGCATTGATTTTGTTGCTGGAATGCAAAAAAGCAATAAATACCGTAGCAGTTTACTGAAAACATGCACCTTTTACAGAAGTCGTTCATTCTTCTAAAGACAAACAATGCATGTTTTTCAAAGAAAGAGCTCAGACATCAGCCCAACACAGATGTTGATAAGGACGGATAAAAACAGCAGTTACTGAGGAACAATGACAGCGCGATGAGGGAAAAGCAACACGAATTGGATCATACCAAAGGAAGTTGGGAATTCGTGTCGATCCATGAACAAAACAACACGAAAGACTTCCGCTGACCTGCTTAGAAAAAGTGCCGACTTGGGGAAATCAATGGAAGCAGAAAGCACTGAAGAGAGTCCAAGGATTTGACCATGTAGAGTTTAATATAATCGAGATGCAAAACACTAAACCTCAAAGTATTATTTTATTACCGCGGGTTTATGTGGACACAACCTAATAATATAGTCTCTAAGAGAACACACATCCCTTAGACTGTGTCCAGTGGATGTTCCAAGTTCGACCAAACGTGGTAACTAACTATTCCTAATGTAAAAGGACTTTCATTCTATAAAATCTAGTTAATCATTCGAAGCGGCACACTGTCAACTGACGAGTGTGGTTCGGATGTCGTTTATAAAGTTACGGCTTCTGTCCAAGGAACATAAAAAAATGGAATGGTTATCTAGGAGTCGAAAACAAACGAGATTGATGCCAGTGAAAATGACCGTCTTAAGGGACTGCTGATGAGGGGAGGTGCTGAGATAATGGGTGTTCACAGCGAAACTACTGACTTTCTAGTGAAGATTTACAAATACGGATTGGTTGCCAACGTAGACAAATTGCCGTCCGATGAAAAAGAGTGTAAGTGCGGGTTAAAAAGCACAAATGAAAGTAGACAATGCGAGATACTAAAACTAGTCTTCTATACCCTGTCCGGTGAATAAGAGGTGGAATGCACGCAGTATGTTATACCTGCAGGTGTGTTAAAATCATTAATATTAAAATAAGTGTACTAACTGACAGGTTGAATAAACTCGAGGGACGGACTGTATATGCGAGCACCAACTGTTAAAGATGAGCGATTCACGCTCATTCAAACCTATTATCAAATAGGAATGCACCAGCTAACTGCTGACCACGAGTGAATGGAAAACAGCAGGGAATAAGCGGGTCGGAAATAGCGCTCACGTTCCAAATGAAATAAATGACTTAACCCATATAACGCGCAATGGAATTCGATCAATAGGCATTCAAGACGGTCGCAGTGACATGTCACCAATGCTCAGTGGTCACGCTTGTTATCAATTATACGCTTCATGCTGGGAAACGTTTAATGAACGCACGAGCAAAGCAGAATGTCTGCTGAACACAGGCAGTTATATAGCAAACTCGACAGCAAGCAAAGAAGTACTATTACACCGAAAACAGTGA